GAATTTTAAGCCACAAGGTATCACAAATCATGTCAAATCATGTGTGGCAGCGAAAGGATGGTGCAATGCAAATAAAATCAAGTAAATGAAATGATGGCTTTTCAACTACTATAATTGAATTGGGATTCACATGATGGTTATTACCTAAACTGTTCATCAGAGGGTAATAGCCTGATAATATCTTATTTTCAACGCTGGTGGTGATCAACGTGGTGCTCGTCGAAAATTAAACAATAGATTTTACTGTACATTTTTTCTTTCTTGTTTATATTTTTTGTTGTTCTTTGTTTCTCACCCAACACCGGGGACGGTAAGGGTATTTAAATTAAATAAATATATATAATCATATTTCGATGCTGTAGGACAAAAGATATTTTACACATGCTGATTTATTTCAAATATCGGTATACTTCCTCAAAAAATTTCCGACTGCATTTTTTCTTTACAATGCCAGTTTAGTTTTGGTGATTTTTGGCGCGTTTATACATATACCATAGATTACCTTCAATTGTACAAGAAGATGCCATCTAATTATTACTTTGCGACAACAAATTTGCGTTGTCTGGCTTCATGTATTTTAAGTAATGCTTCTGAAGAATTGAAAATAATACGTATTTTAATATTTAGAATCACCATCTTTCTCCTAAACAGATGCCTTATCCAAAATATCCGTATAGCAAGCAAGCGTTTCATTGCTATTTATAGTATATGATTTATACAAAAATATCATACATGTTTCGTTGAAACAGTTCAGTACTCTTGTATTGATAATCATTATCATTAATGAATAAGTTGTATAAAGCATTAGAAGCATGATTTTCAATGATTTTGCAATCCAAATTTTGCTTTTCTTATCTATTAATAAACTTTAGGAACATCGAGGAAATTTTTCTAAATCAAGAGATTATACATAGGTTCACAAAGTTATGGATTAAATAACGCTATAGAAATAGTTCCTACGGAAACATCTCATAATCATAATATATTTTTTCCGCTGAAACATGAGTCTAAACTCAAACTCAATACCCAAACTCAATACCCAAACCCAAACCCAAACTCCCAAATAGTTTGGGTTTGAGTTTGGATTAGGTGCATGCCTATTCACTACTCAATGAATCTAAATTCACCGCGGAAATTTTAATGACGTTCTGCACCACGTTCGGCTCCTTTGATAGAAGCCTGCAGTGACAGTTGAGTGTTTGATGCGAGTATCGGTTACAAAAACCACTTGATAGCAGTTTCACCCAGGTTACCCACATCTGCCTGCTTACAGATCAGCGAAACACCATTGCGACGTTTTCTTAGACCCACGACAGTTTTATGGAAATATACGTCCATTTTCCATTACAAAACTGGTTGGATGAAATTTCACCCAGTTTCCCTCATTTCATCTACCTCGTTACTGGCCTCCCAACACTATCAATCTGTTCTTGTGCCTATAGAAGCAGTATAAAAGATTTGGCGTCCTTTCTTGACACGAAACCATCTGAGTGAGCTCTCAATCGATGTTTTTTCGATATAGCGGAACATCATGAAAAGTTCTGCGGTGTTTTCAGTCGTAGAGCCACTTGCGTGAGATTTCACCCACATCATTCTCTACCACCCTCAATACTGGTCTACTAGCTCTCTTTTAGCGTTTCCCTGCACTCACGAAAGCTCCGTGAATGTTTATGCGTGTTTTTCGAACGTGAAATCACTTGGGTGAATTTTCACCCTGATCTCACCCAGATCACCCATGCCTACCTGATAAATACTTAGTCAGTACTCTCTTCCTGTTTTCTTGGACCTACGGGGTCAGTACAGAAAGTTTGGTGGTCATAGCTAGTGTAGGGAGGAAATGAGAAACGAACAGGCGGACAAATACACAAATATTGAACTTTTGTGTACTCAAAAAGTGGGTACACTACTAGAATCGCCCAGTGAATCCGGCCGTTTACACGATAACTTGCGATAGAAGAATCGAATTCGGCTAAAATTTTCTACATAGCATCATCGCATCAATGTCTCGGTCGAGTTCGAAGATGAGCCCAATCGATGTATCCTTGCTGAGTTTTGATAATATTTTCTCCAATCCCTATATAGAAAGTTCAATATTTGTGCATTTGCCCGCCTATTTGTATTGCATTTTCTCCCTATACTAGCTATAACCACCAAACTGCCTGTATTGGTTCCTTAGATCCAAGAAAAAATGGAGAAAATGCTGACTTCCTGTCTAAGGAGTAGACATGGGCGATCTGAGCGAGATTTGGATGTAATTTCACCCAAGCAGTTTTGCATTAGAAAAAGGCACGAAAGCATTCACGAAATTTTAGTGAGTGGAGGGATCGTTAAGAGAGAGTGTGTAGACCAGTAATGAGGGTGAGTAAGAATGGTGTGGCTGAAATCTCACCCAAGGGGTTCTATAGTTGACAGCGCTGCGAAACTTTCCATGCTACTTCCCTAGATGTAGAAAACATCAAATAAGTCGTGAAACATTAGTAAGAATGGTAGGTATCGGTGGTCTCGGTGCGGTCTGGGTGAAATTTCTCCCAGACTATTTCGTAATAGAAAAGGAGGCCAAATCTTGCGTATTGTTTTCGTAGGCGAAGGAAAAGACAGATAGAGTGTTAGGAGAGCCATATGAAGATGAATTAGGGGAGGCAGGGGGCTCTGAGTGAGGTTTCACCCAAACGGTTCTACGACAGATTAGGTTGTAAAACTTTGAATGTTGCTCTTTTAGGGAGTATTAGCGAGTTGGGTGTGATCTGGGTGAAATTCTACTCAAGGGTTTCTATAATGAAAAACGGGTACAAAGTTCTGTGGAACTGCCGTAGATCTAGGACAACGCTAATAAGGTGAGGATAGATTAAGTAAGGAGGTTGGCGAGGTTGCGGGTACATTTCATCGAAACTACCCGCCCATCAGTCATAGACTTCTATTACAGACACTGTCATCAAAGCTTGCGCGGCGAATTCCGACTTTCCGAAAGATGAAAGTGAATGGAGATAATGAGAATGAGTGTGGGTGATAGACTTGGGTGAAATTCGCCAAAACCATCTTTGTCTGAGTTAACGTTAGTAAAGGCGATTGAGATGTGCTGGATGACGTAAAGCGTATAAATTCGCCCACAAAGACGCTTTTTATTAGAATCTAAGTTTCAACTGAAGATAGTCAAAATATCAATAATATGCTAGTAAGAACAGATTTGCAATATTTTAGCGCTATAGTATATTGATAGAGTAAGCGTATTAGATAGGTCGGTCGCCAAGTTTCTGTCGCGGTCTCTTAAAAAAGCATCCTAAGCAGTTATATCGTGCAGCTCATCGTATGCTAGTAACAGCATATGTTGCATATAGATACCGGCTATGTGCTACATCATACGGTACAATGACTAGAAGATTCATCGATTTTCAAATGGAAGAGTATTGTAAAGGTGATCGTGGAATCCATGATTCAATAACTGCTATCACTCAACAGAATATTGCGCCTCGTAACGACTTGAAGATAGATAGGTCGCATTTCAGTAGTGCTTCACTGATACTATCGCATACCTGATGAATTACATATAATATCACGGCGATCATTCAAAGGGGTTAGTTTATAGTATACAGAAGCGAATACTATAGTTGAAAAACAAGTGTCTCGTCAGAATGCATATAACTGTATGCATAATAATATATTTAGTCTTAACTATCCAGACAGAGAAAATTCGAACTTATGATCTATTCACTATGCAGACTGTTAGAAGGGAAAGAGAAAGATCTATATGTTGTGAAGCAATCGATCTTCAAATGTTTTTTAGAACGACGAGAACGGGAACAGCCGGTGAAAGCGATAAGTGAGAGATCAGATAACCAGATGAGACTGCACCACACTACACACTGAAGGCATATACTGACAGATTTTTGAGAGGAACACAAAGAGGTGGACGAGATGGTATCCTGTGATGTTATAACAAGTAGAAGAGGGAGTACAGCTGTGGAGAAAACCTAAGAGAGAGAAAAGACCTGGACTGACCGTGTGTGGATTTACTCCATAGTACACACCTTATTTTGCTCCGTCGATATCGACTTCATTTAGTTATCCGAATGGTACTTGTACTAAAATTCAGGTGCTACAAGTTTAGCTAAGTTAATAGCCAAAGAGATGAAATCAGTGTATACTCTAGATCACCTAAAGATGTTCTAGACATGAATTCAGACGAGGAAGCTTGCTATAAAACATCATCGATACTAACTCAGAGATTTAATAGAGAAAGATTAGGAAAATGTTTTTTGTTCTAAGAATAAATATTTGAAAGTGCAAGAACTTATTAATCCCTTCACCGTTAAGTTTTTTTTCAACTATTTAGTAAAATTTTTACAACTTAAGTTTTCTTAATTCATAGAAAATTAAGGCTAATAGGAAACGTTAGAAAACAAATAAATTGTATTGTTTATATAGAAAACAGAAGTTACTTTTCAATAACAAAGCGTAAAAACATTGTCCTAGAACAGTGTTTCCAAAGTTGAAAGGGTCGTTCAAAAGTTCAGTTAGGTATGATAGATACGGAAACATGGATCGACACAAAGTCCAACCTCGCAAATTGTACATTCGTATCTTGATTCATATCTTGCTCGGTTAGTTTTCTTCTCTGTATGACTACAAACAAAACATCGTCTTGTTGGAAGCTGTTTGTTTTCACTTGGTGGAATCAAAGATGAAAAATGCTGTCCAACTAACCGTGCTGGCGTAGGTTCACTTGACGGTCTCCCTATTCTAACTAAGCGTCCTGGTAGATCTTTCTGTAAATTTTGTTCCAATAGAGAACGAACAAGACTAACACGAAATTGAAGTTGTGTTATTACCTTATGACATGTTTCCTGAGTTTGTATTTTATATAAATGATACGAATTTAATACAGCTATATCAAGTAAAATCATAAATAATTTCTTATAATATTTTTTCAACCTTTGTCTAGATAGACAGTAAGGAGCTAACAATTGATCGGCCATATCCACTCCACCCATAGTATCATTATATTAATGCATGCATATTGGCTTTTCATCTTGAGTTTGTCTCTTCTGAATAATTGTAGTAGTATTTTCATGGTATGTTGATAATATATGAACATATTTCTTGTCAAGCCATTTTAAGGCCATCAACTTTTTATAATATCTTGCAATCCGTTCATTCTTTTGAAGCCTGGAATTTCTGAAATCAGGTGGAAGGCTTTTTCTGTTTGAACGAACTGTTCCGACAGCATCTGTCTTTCTTTTTACAAGATTCAGAAACAATTCTAGTGAGGAATAATAATTATCCATCACAATACAGCGTCCTAAATCTAGATAATCTTCCACCAATGTCATCACTATTCGACTTGATAATGATAAATCGCTAAATTTCTCACTATAATTCGTATCACTACCGGTATAAATAATACAATTAAGAATATAGCCATTTACATCGCACAGCATGAAGAATTTAAATCCAAATCGTGCTCTCTTCAGCGGAATATACTGCTTCCACGACAGACGACCCTTATATAAGTGTAAGCTTTCATCAACATTTAGAAAACGCCTTGGTTTATACAGTCGTTTGAATGATGGACGTAAAGCTTCAACAACCGGTGAGATCTTTTTCAATTTGTTGTTGACATCTTGATTAGTTTCAAAATGTAACATTTTGAGTAATATTTGAAATCGACCAGCAGTCATAATTTTATTGAAAATCGGTGTAGCCAAAAGTTCATCGGTTGTGAAATACATTTCAAGTTCTGGTTTTTTATTATTCCTTGTAATATTAGTAGTGCGATAAAAATACGAAGTTTTTCAACATCTGTTGGTTCCCATTTGTTTATACGTGAATGCTGTTGAAGAACATTAGAACTATTACATATGCCTTCGGCGTAGCGATTTGTTTCAAATACAATCAGTTGCACCAAATTTCCATGGAAAATGTGCTTCCAAAACTCAATAGGAGTCTGAGCCCCATTGACTCGAATTTCGCGATTGGTGATAAATTGAAATGGATCTCTGTTGGCCATTGGAGTAACTGTCCAATTAGTTAAATCAATTTCATCATCAGTATCAGACAGACATGAACTAGACGTTAGCGAACTGTCGTCATTGTCACTGCAAGAATCGCTGCTGAATATCATCTGATTTTGTCAAAAAACAAACTTGATTGATCAAAGAAGAATACGGGCAAATGAAAAACCGATAAAACGTTCTTATGTATATAATATCTATTCCAAAACTAAGCACATACACGCACACTTTCACAGAAATGTAAAGAATATATCTGAGATAAAAAGAATATGCTAAGCATAGATATGATAGCTGAAATATACCCCACTAATGCCGTGAAAGAAAAGAAGAAAAAATCCTAAGCGAACAATATGGAGAAATACCTTTGTAAAAAGAAAGAGAACGAAAGAAACAGCTTTATCGGACAAAGTATGTATGTACACATATATGCACCAAACGAAGGAGAAAGAACACATAGACAACACAGCATAACTCTGTTGTGTCACATGTGGTATATACCAATCAATAAACTGATATTGATCTTATTTGATCTTTTCTTTTCCTATTACACAATTTTAAGAGCGAAGAACATAGTCCATATGAAACATCAGGATGCTACAGCAGGTTCATAGCACACAAAGAAAACAGAATTAAGGAATTACAGTAGTCGTCTTTTCCATAAAATTGCTCTGACAAGTATACTCGTCGTTAACGGTGAAGGGGTTAACTGTTCAAGGTAATCATTCTGTGATTTGACATTTGGAATATGATATCATTAATTTGTCTCGTAAGAATTTTACAAGAAGGTAAACTGTTGAAGAAAGATTTTGATTCGCAAAGGATAGGGAATTATCTGAAAAAGTGTGAACCAAATTGGGATCAATTAGGACGATGTGCTCTTCGCCTGTATACAGCATCGTCTTTTCTTTGTGATTCAGTTAACACAACTTTAAGAAATAAGGACATGAGTAAAGTTGATACATTGGGTCCATTGTGCTACTTGTTATCAGAACGTTTATTCTCAGGTGGCTATTGTCCAAATCAGATACTTTATCGTGGTGCAACTCTTACAAGTGGCATGATTGAAGACTATAAGCAAGCAATTGGAAAAGAAATCACTTGTTTATCGTTCACATCCATCATAAAAGATCGATGTGTCGCATAAATGTATACTGACTGACAATGTTCTTTTTATTATAACTTTGAAATATAAAATATGGTTCTAATAGTGGCGTGACCAAGAGTGGACTAGGTTGGGCGGCGCCCAACCGCCGATGCTGTTCGTCCAACCACCGATAATTTCTTAAAAATTATTTTTTAATGATAGATATAATAAAATAGCACTTGATGATATTCAGTCATATGTTTTCTTTGACATAAGTAAGTCGTATAGTCCGTTCAAGGCTACACAAACTGACTTGTATCAACATAAATCAGTTTGAAATTATCAAAAGATCTGCATAAGAATTCTGACCATTTTCAATGATTTATTATTATTTATAATAATACCAGAGAAATCATCAAAATTCAGCAGAAATTACTGGCGCCAATAAAATTATAAGACCTATTTGCCTTTATGTATCTTATTGAAACAAAACTAAATTTTATATATGTGTTAATGAACATGCCATATATTATTATTGAAACTTCGTTAAAGACACATACGCAGAGAAAAAAAACGGAACTTTTGCAATTTGAAACCGAAAAAATTCAAAAATTCTTCAAAATTACTTAAATAAATTTCAGGCAACAAGGGCGTAGTCCACCTTTCATTTCAAGTACTCATAAGCTATATTGATTTTTCATGGTTACCATTAGTCAGAAACTAGCGAGCTTATAAGTTAATATGTTCTAACCCAGGAGAAAAAGCAGAGTTCGAGATTCTTCAACATTTTCCCATATTTTGCGAGTTTTTTAGTATTCTGAAATTTCTATGAATTTTATGAAAATCTTTTGGTTTCTTGAAGCTTTTCGAGCATACGGATCGTTACGCACATTTTCTCTTATTCGCAATTCGAAAAATTTGAGAAAGTCTGAAAAACTAAAAGAACCAAAAAAAAATGAGAAAGATTCGCAAGTCTGCGTTTTCTAGTATATGATCTGAAAGATTGTTTATATACTTACGGATAAAAACTCGGACTCATTTCCTTCTCCCACAGACATGACCGACAGATAAAGAAAACTCCTCACAAATTGTCGCTTGAAAACCTAGTCAACAATCACCCTAGGTTCGACCAAATTGTCTCGAACTCTATTTTTTCTCTAATCGCTCTAAGCCCTGTTGGAATCGGAGAATCATCCTGCGAGACCCTATCTAATGAACAAAATATATTAGAATGTGCACCTGAAAGTTACACTTCAGTTCAAAAATTATGATAGCATACAATATTTTTCGTAACAAATAACACCTGATTTGACACTTGTTTGAAAAATATGTTTGACAGGTTCATGAAGAAAGGAGTTTAAACAAGAAAGGGACAGGTTCCTCGTTGGGAAACGGCTTCAAGACTGACTAAAAAACTTCATCAGCCTGTCCACGGAGAAGGGTGATTCCGTCACGCTGCTCTGAATGAACGGAAAATTGATTGTAATCGTCCAAAACCAGGTTTTGTTAAGCACAATTGAATGTTCAAAATTATGAGCTCCTAGGATCCTAGGGTTACTTTCCTTATAAATAATTCAAAAAATACAGCGTGACGGAATCACGTTTTGCGTGGACAGGCCGTGTACATCATCATCATAGCTGAACTGATTTTTTGATTTTTTCATGTTCT